AATCAACTTAAGGGTTGCCTGTGGGTTGGAATAGGGAAATTGTGTACATGAGACTCAGTCCCCACCTCAGGGGAAAAACATCAGTTAATGAGCCTGGACCTTGACTTGCTCGCGAACAGAACTGATGGCATTTCTTCTTGTCTTTTGTTGCAAATAGGTCAACTGAAGGAATACTCCAGACCCAAAAGACAATTTTGAGTACACTGTTCTTCAGGGACCACATCTGATTTGAAAAAAATCTCCAAATGAGATAATTGGCCAGCTGGTTCTAATAACCTTGTCAGTGCGCAGCAATGGGAGAAATGCCCTTCTTGATGCAAAAGTCCTAGTTCATAACTTCTTGACAATGCTGATTGACCGTGCCCTTCTCTTGTCTGTTTTGTTAGTAGATTGTTGTGTGGTTCGTTTGGATGCCTGTGGCATGACAAGTCCATGGTGTGAGGGAGAAAAGCACATTAGCTTTGTGAATTGCCTGGAATTCAAGGACATTGACATGAAGGATCACTTTGTGTTCTAGCCATAATGCTTGGGTTCACAAACCCTCGCGGGACAGACACATTGGTAAAAAACCTGGCCCTTTGTAGTCAGAGTTTAATAAAAAAAAGAGCATTAAAAAATGAGGCATACAGGTGCAAGCCCAGGGAAACACAGGCCAGTGATTTGAACACTGAATATCTCCTTGGAATGGCAGTGGAATTGAATCTAACGCATGGAGGCCACTTCAGCCCAAAGACACAATCCTAACGCATCCTGCAGTAAGGAGAAGACAGAAAGATCCATGAAGCAGCAGATCTTCTGGCCATGTCTTCCATGCAGTCACATACAGAGCCTCTCATAGAGCTGGGCTCCATGCCCACTATCCAGCTGTCTCTTTGTATCACTGATTCTGCTGTTAAGGGGACCTCCACTATTGCAGAGACTGGGGTTGTATTTGCTCCATAAAGTATCACAGACATTTGCAAACAAATAAGAAACATCATTGCGCTTGTCAAAATTTGGGTTTACCAACCTTGAAAGTATGGCTCAGATATGTGCCTGCATGTTTTAACAGCTCTCCTTGGGGTGCAGTGCTTGTAATATTAAAAAATGACATTCATATTCTTTTTTTTTTTTTTTTTTTTGGTTAGAGTCAATTCCTGATTATTCTAACTCAAATATTTAAAATCAATACATTGTTTTTCTCTGCATCCTATAACCAATCCTTATCACAGGTTCTGCCAAATCAGATTTCATTTTCTTATTTGTAGTTTGTAATTAGTTCTCAATGGTGTCATCTTAGTACTGAGTGTGATATGTACAGTGGGTCAGTCCTCCTGGAGACTATCAGTCCCACAGTTTTCAATTTTCACATAACCCTGTAGACAGCATTATCTGATTAGTCTCAGCTGATTAGCACCACAGCACAGTTTTAGGCCATCTCCAACGTTTAATAAAATTTATACAGAAAATGAGTTTATCATTTGCTTTTCAGAAATGGTCTTCCTTGGGAGAACGGTCTTTTATGGATACCTACTCTCAGAAATGCAAGAGCTAACTACTGACTTCTAGAACCCAATGAGGCAGTTCATGCAATAATGCCTCCTGTGATCTGATATATACTAGTACCTCATTATAAAATATTTGTTGTGACCTTGTCTATTAGTGTGACACAGTGTACCTCAAAATAATACCCTGTACCCCCATACTCACCACTTGTATATGGTTATGATCTATTTGTACAAAGCATGCCTTGTGAGGTATCATTGGAAAAGTTATGGTCTTTTGAACATCACTGTCCTGTTAAAATCTGTGTATCATGGTACATGAAGTCATGAAATTTTGTTGTATGTTTGCTACTGAAACAGGAGTCTGGGCAATGTCCACAGACTCGCTCTTCAGTGGCAACAAAAGAGTGACCAACACCCAGCCAGGTGTAAAGCAACCATCACCGGCCATTCACTAGCAGGGGAGGAGTTGTTAACAAGAAATTTATAATTCACATGAAAGATAGTTGCTCGAGCACGTAAACCAGGGAGCTGCCTGACCCCATGACGCAGCAAGGACTTTTCCAGTAAAAAGAGTAAAGATATTAAAAGGGGGAACAAAGGCCCCAGACCACCTCTCCTTCCCTACCTATTCTGAAGGCAACAAGATCATCTGGAAGACAAAGGAACATTTGGACTGGGGGGAGTGGTCCTAACTGGAAAAGCTTTCCAGTTAGCACAGACTGCTGTAGGCAACTGGGTAAGAGAAACCTTGTTACTTCAAACTTAACTTAGCTTGATAAAGTTTAGGAATTAGATGTGATTTTACCTTTTACTTCCTTTTGTAACCAATTCTACACCACTTATCAATTAAAATCTATATTTCTGTGTTAATATACTTATTTTATGTTTTCTCTAAGCCAGTGTGCTTTTGACCTAAGTTTGGGGAATCTATTCCGGTTACAAGGGCTGGTGCATATTCATACCCTTTGATGGAATGACAAACTAATGAGCTTACTCTGATCAACGAGGTCTTGAGCAGTGTAAGACGCACATTTCTGGAGTGCCGTGCAAAGCTGGGGCTGAGGGATATGCAGGTGTCGCCTTATGTGTAATTCAAGAGTGGCTGAGCATAGCACTAGTAGTTGTCTGGGAGTGACTTGCACACTAGAAGCAGGGGTGAGTGGGCCAAGTGGCAGCTCACACTGCAAAGCAGGGCATAGGACACACCAGACTGGAGAGTTAAGGGGGCACAATGATTCAACAGTCCAAATTGTACCCTGGGGCCTCTCACAATTAGTATATGTATGTAAGAACTTGTAGGGCTAGAATCTGAGCCCATTGGGGTTCTGGGCCACTGACGCCTCCGCATTGCCATTAGAGATAGGTGTGCATAGGAGGACCCTGCAAAGATAGGCTCAGCAGGAAGTACCACCAACAGGGCCTAAGCAGAGGCCACTCCCAGCTCACTGACTGGCCAATACCAGTATATAAATTAGGAAGCCATGATGGTGAGCTGTCTGAGCAACAACAAGACTGCCTGCCTGCTTACTTCTGTTCCAGACCCTGTTTGCGACAGACCCTAGACTCCGGCCTCTGACCCTAATCTGTCCTTGACTTCACTACTGGACTGTTATCTGTAACCTGGCACCCAGCCCTGACTTCTTGGTATCCTGACCTGGTTCAACTCTGACATGCTAGTGCCCAACCCTGACTTCCCGGCTTTCTGACCTTGCTTGCCCTGCTATTGTCCCCAGTCACAACTCAGCAGCTGACTGGGCATGCCAGACATCCACAGCCCAGCCCTGATAGAAGAGTACTTCCTCTGGGCAGACTTCTGCAATATAGCTCCCAACTTTTTTGGCATAAAATTGTAGGACTGTATACCAGGTGTCTTTTTGATTAATAGCTGTAAAAACTACTTGTACCAAGCAAGCTTCTTCTAATCCCTACTAACTTTAGAAACTAACGTAACATCTATGGCTAACAGAAAAAAATCTAGCAAAAAGCACATATTTTTGTTTATGAGATTTCTTTCAATTACAGTATTTTCCACCCAAAATAATTCACAACTAAATCCAGGGTTGATGGCCTCTACATGTTTCAAACACACACAGATTCTTCAGACTGACAGGAAAAAATCAACAAAAAACAGTTCACTGCTTACATTAGCTAGAATCATTGACTATAGTGTGTACACGTGTCAAGGCTGAATCCTCACTCTGTCACTTTGAGTACAGAAGGTGGGGGCTCGCAAGGATTTTAAAAATTAATACTTGCCACTCCAGGTTTGTATTAAACTCCCAAGGTTACAGCTTTTCTCTGACCTTGGCTTGGTAAACGCTGCCACCACCCAAATGCAAAAAAACCCTTGGACCCAGGAAGGAGCATTTGGAAATTCCACCTTGTGGGGTACCCTGAAGACCTTTCACCTCCCCCTTCAAAGAAGAGCTGAGAAAGAAAATAAAGGAAATTAGCTGTTGCTACCAGCTAATCAAACAACATATGCACATACCTCTTTGGGACCAAAAATCCAATCCCGGTCTTAAAAAAGGTAAAATTTATTAAAAACAAAAAGAAAGGAAATATATTTGGAACTTAGGCTTTTTGCTAGATCTTAAAACAAACAATTACAAAAATTAAGCATCAAGATAGCTCTCTTGAGGTTCAGCTTAAAGGTTACAAGCAAAATAAAAGCATCTGGAGGAGATCCAAAGCCAAAATAAAGAAATAAACCTAATCGCGTCTATTTAAATATGCCCTGTCCAATGATTTCAAAAAACAGAGGAGATCCAAAGCCAAAATAAAGAAATAAACCTAATCGCGTCTATTTAAATATGCCCTGTCCAATGATTTCTTCTAGGTATGGAAGATGAATTTTTATACCTGATTCAAGCATTACACAGCATTCCTGCTTATAGCATTGCTGCTCCGTGTCTCCTTCTCCTGAGAACAACAAAGGGAAAGTTTCTTTCCCAATTTTAAAAAGTTCTAGCCTGCCCACTGGCTCTTTTGGTCAGGTGCCCATTTTTTATTTTTTAACCTGGGGAACTTTTTAACCCTTTACAGGTAAAGCAATTAGAGAACAGCTACGAAGAGGGATTTTACAGCTAACTGACTGGCTGGGTGTCCATCAAAGGGAGCTATGCCCCCCCCCCCTCCACACACACACTTCATTTATCACAACATGTATGTGTGTAAAGAAATTGAAATTACTTTCTTCCACCTCATAGATTTCAGAGTTGAGAATTATAGAATAGGAAACTTAGTCCACTCCCTGCCAATGCAAGATTGTTGTACATTTGTTGTCTCTAGGGATGGGAAAAGTTAAAAAAAAACCCACAAGTATTTTGGATGAACAGAGTATCAACAGTATTTGGCTATGTACTGTATTTAACAGAAAAAAAATAGAGTGGCAGGATAACTGTAAACTTAAAGGAGAGGATACACCTACATGGAATTCCTGACCCTCCTTCCACCCTAAAAGTTCCTAAATTCCTATAAAAGGTTACGATTTTTTTGCCTTTACATTCTTACCAATTTTTAAGTCGTTAGTCAGACTGTGTTTTGTAAGACTCAGCAGCTCTTTGCCATCAATGTTATTCATCTTGAAAATCCCAACAAGGTCTTTTAAACCTTGTGCACAAAGCCAGACTGAGACCTCTTCCTCTGACCAGTTCTCAATAGACATCTTAGGTTCATCTTCCAGTCCACTTCCTTGGAAGCAAGTAGAGAAGGAAAATTTCAAATAAGAAATAAGAAAAACAGAACTGCTCTTGTGCATTGAAAGTTGCTCTTGGTATACCTTTGTAACATAGCTTTTATGAGCTAGAATGTTTATTTCCTGACTTATTTTGTCTATATTAATTAGCAAATAATTTTTTTCCTATTGCCAACTATGCTTGCAATTAACTTATATTTTCTGTTTCTCATATTATTTGTGTACAAGTGTCACTGGCAAAGTGTGTGTTGCTCTGGGAATAATATTTGTCAGTTAAGTGCTGCCCAGAGAGTAAGAAAAAGAGATGCAAGAGAAAACACTTCTTTTGTTTAGGTCTAAAATTTCCTTAAAGAAGGAGTGGTACATTTGAAAGATTTTTTTTCTTCCTTCTTTCTTTTCCAACATACAGGACATTTCCCAATAGTAAATAACAATTTTAAGAAAGGTCAAATGTTGGGCCTATACTATTTAAGATTACACATTGAGCACATACTAGGGTAAAGCAGTCTGTATAGTATCTCCCAATAGGTTTACAACTATATCATACTGGACGTATAAAAAGAGTGGGTTTACAAAATGCATGTACTTACCTGCACAATGTTGCTTTGGATCAAATTGCCAGATATTCACAGTTTTATCCATTGAACCTGTTGCAAGTAATGGAATATTTGGTGCAAAGGCACAAGTTGTAACATATCTAGAAACAAAAGCAATTCAATAATTGAAATTTAAAATCACAAATTAAATACTTTACTTGGTTAATATAGGATTATACGGATTTCACACCTGGTATGCTGAGTTAAAGTGTGCAGGATGCTCCCAGTTTTCTGCAAATAAAAAGTATTGCATTTGTTAGGTCAAACAGAAATAAAAATCACAGTTAATCATTTTTATTTATATAGCAATTTTTAACTCAAAGCACTTTACAAAGATGGGGAAGCATAATGATTTCAATTTTGAAGATGGTGTAACTGAGGCACGAAGAGGTTAATAATGTGCCAAAAGTCACACAGAAAGTCAACATCAGACCCGTGAATAGAACTCAAATCTCCTGATTTGCAGCCCCAGGTTCAATCCCAACAGAACACACAGCTGTCCCTCAGTGTACCTGGCAGACAGAAATATAATATATTCAACTGACATTTCTAAAATTCTATATGGGCTGATTATTCATCAGAATAAAAAAAACATTTCTTCCAGAATACTAGAATTAACAACATATCACAGTGAACTGATAACTGAAACTCAAATAGAATTCAGGATGCAATCTTTAAATAAAAAAACAGGGTCTGTAACATCACAAGGACTATGCAACTGTAGTTTGCATATGTGGCCACTAGATGCTGCCATTCACAAAAACAAATCAATGATCCCAATCCTTTAAATAACGTTTAAGAGTCTCTCTTTAGTGTAGCATGATTCCTTTCACAGACATTGTCAGAATTTAAAAAAAAACAAAAACAAGTTATTTTAATTGACCTGTCAACTTTCCTGTTTTTCCTCTCATACTGTCCCTCATGAGGGATATGTCCCTTATGTTGGACTGAAATTTATCTCCATCCAATGCAGACCTATTGTTCTTTCACTGTCATTACTATAAAGTACATCAGATTTTTTCCCCATAATGTTTAAACAAGAATCAAGGTTAAAAAAAATATTCTGTCAAATAATTTCTTCCCTGTCACATTCATTATTAAACTTCATGCATTACTATTTTTCTGTATCTCTCATTTTCTTATTGTCTCATATTTGGATGCAGAAGGTTGAGAGTCTGTTTTTCCACATGCTTCTTAACTATGTTTCCATACACTCAGAAGATTCTGAGAACATGAAAGCAGCAAAATATTCTCATGATTGTGCCATTGGTATTCACCTGTTATTCAGATCTCACAATTTATCTGAGAATTATCTCCCAATTAACATTATAGGACTAAACAGAACTGTGGAACAAATAATTTATTTCTTTAAGTAGTCAGCAATCATGCCCTTTTTTTAAAAAAAATAAAGTGATAACTTAAAGAAAGCAATGAATCTTTCTAAACCTCACTATAAATCAATATTGACACTGATGAAGAAAAAGAAAATACAATCCATCCCAGCCTGGTTATCACAATTTACCCAGTGAGGCCATGGTCAGCTGGGACATCTCCTTGCAGAGGTCTCATGAGGCAAATGCCAAGAGCTCTTCTCCTCTCTAAACCAAGTATGGCCGATTTTGTACAGGCTATATGACTGGTTGGACACACCCTCAGACTCTGATTTGCTGGGAGGCTGGACATGCCTCCCTCATCACCTTTCGGCTGCTGTCACAATAAGCATAGAGTCCAAAACGTATTTCAGCAGCAGTCAGCGCCCAGCGAAGGCCTGGCATGATCCAGTCCCACAGGCACAGTAATTTGTCCACCATCACATAGGAAGTCTGTTTAAGAACCAGAAATAGAATTCACATCTCCCAGTTCTGTGACTTTAATGAGTGAATACGCTTCCTCTCCTATGTCTTGTAGTTCCCGGGAAGTTCAGGTCCAGATCATGCTCTCAGTTACATCACTGTAAATCAAGAGTAACCTCACTGATTTGTGAATTTACACTGGTGAGGAGACAGGAAAAATACTGGGGCCAAATTATGCCTTCGGTGTCATCTTGCTCATATTCTGATTAGGAATCATTCTTTCAGGTCTGGGTGAGCACTTTAAACCAACTGACATTTGAATACGTAAGGGATCATTACACTTCTATGTGAGACAAGAATTCCTAAACACATTCAACCTTAGGTGTTGACTATACACAAAAGTTGTACCACTGTAACTGTATAGGCAAAGTGTGTTTATCCTTCACGCTCAGGAAGACAGATTAGTAATTTTAATATTGTGAAAGACAAAAGTTAAATACTATGTACAGATGAATTAGTAAGGCTTTACCAGTTTTCAGTGGTATTATTCCTACTGTGAAGCAATAAGTCTAAGCAATAAGATGTAAAAAGTGTATGATATTAAAGAATGCTATTATTTCTTAACCACTCCCCTTGAATTGCCCATGTTTGTACATATAATATACTAAAGAATTCCTAAAACAACTATTACTGATACAGGAAACTCCAATTTTTTCCCCTGTATTAATAACTGCAATCTTGCATGCTTTTGAGGATATGACACAAGACTTACAAATTTCATCCACCTGAATGTGCAGATACATACGTATACAGTAGTGTGATTCGGTTGTACAGTACCAAGATAAGAAAAGAATAAAGTGTAGAAAAAAGTGGCGCACGCGAGAGTCTCTGTACTTTGATATGGACGAACACTTTCCTCACTCCTACTCCAAAAAAATACACACTAAAGATTTCAGGTCATATTTGCTATTCTTCTGTCTTGAGAAGACAACATTTTAGGTGAAGGGATATAAACTAAAAAAAAAAAGTTCAGTAAACTAATCTTGAATTACACAATACTTACAGTGTCATGTATTATGATGGATTTGTCCACAGATCTTTAAAAAAAAGAACACATTAAATTAAATGATGACATGGAAAGAGATGAGAAACTGTATAATTAAAAACTATGGGACAAATTTTTGTCCCATAAGGAAAGTCTAAACAGACAAGATTTGCTGGCAGCAACTATGCAGATGTTAGATGTAGCAATCCTCTTCACTGAAATCTAGAAGTAGGCCCTTAATATCTATACAGTAGCTTGAGGTACAGCCTAGCGGGAAGAGTAGTGGCTGAAGCCCACAGCTCCTCTCAGTCCACTAGGTTTTTGAGGCAGTATATCTGTGTAGTACATAAATCCACTGGCCATGTTACCACCACACCAATAGCTCTTTCACATTTGTCCACTCCATGCTCCTGTATAGGGAGTAGCTGCAAAGGTTGGCTCAACCACGTGTGGACACTGAAATCTGACTGAGTGGGCTCTCCTACCCTGGAGTACTGGCACAATTTTTATAGGGGGGGTGCTGAGAGCGATTGAACCAAACTGTGAACTCTGTATACGATGGAAACCGCTTCAGCACCCTTAGTTCCAGCACCTACGCTCCTACCCTCCAAGTATTTCTGTTTCAATTTGGACCTTGAATATCTGCAAAGCAGACTAGAGGAAGTGGCTCAATACAGAATATAAAATACTTCATAGTTAAAATATCACTATTTTTAGTAAAATTATCCAAATACAAAGAGTTATAGGTTTATTTTCAGCACATACAGTTCTTCCTGAGTACATCTATACAGATTGGATGCCAACCTCAAAAGATCAAAAATCATGAATCAGACCCTCAAAAATAATGCAACTGGCCCAAAACCTGGCCCCAAAAAATCTTATCAAATCTTGTGTTTTAGTTTGTCCTCTGACTTTCTCCTCTATTCCACTGTCAATGTATGTGAGATAATTTCAGGTTGAAAAGTCAGTCTTTAAGGCATACAAAAATGACTGCCTCTCCCTGGCTACTCAGACAGTATGTCTAAACAGTATAGAAGAACCTGCGCTGGCCTGTGCCAGCTGACTTGGACTCACGGGCTGGGTTGTGGGGCTGTTTCATTGCTGTGTAGATTTCTGGACTCGGGCTGGAGTTTGAGCTCTGGGACTCTCCTGCTCTGCAGAGTCCGAAAGCCCAGGCCTCAGCCCACGAGCCCAAGCAGCCTGGCACAGGCCAACCACATGTTTTCTTTGCGGTGTAGACATATCCAGAGAGGCATGTCCTCACCCCTAAGATAGGAGAACTGCCATCCATTTCCAATTACTGTCTTGACCCAGCAGCACCACTTCTCTGTCTCCCTTTGCCCTAGGCTTTCTCCCCTGTCTGGTTCCCAGCACCATTACTCTGCCTCCCCAGTCTCCTCCCATATTTGTGATCCAAAAATAAAATATCAAAAAAGAGAATTTAAAGAACCTTTGGCTCCCCAAAACAAAAACAAAAAACACCACAAAGAAAAATGACAAAGAAAGTTATTGCCCTCTGGGATTTGTTGTTATGACTTTAATTACTGGTTAATCTACAACATTCTTTTTTTTTTTTTTTTAAAGAAATCATTTCCTTAATTTAGAATTTTTTGGTAATAGAATGGAAATTAAAAGGGCATATGACTGAAGTATTGCTGGAATTATTTCAAGTTGCTACTTTGACAGCTTACAAGAGGTTAAGTAATTATCTCTTACAATGTGGAATAAAAACATGCATAATGTCATTAAAATATATAAAAACATGAATGATTATAAATATTCTACCTTACTTACCATTTTCTTCTTTTAAAAAAAACCAATGTTCGAATACAGAAAATAAGGAAGTTGATCCCACCACGATATTGGTTACTTAATTTAATATTACCAAAACATTAAAATTTTCCTTTCTTGTAAAACTATCCATAACTGTTTTCTCTCCCACCCTCACATTTTTATACAATACTGATTCTACTAGAAGGAACAATTACATTGCCAGGAGGCTTCAACACCAGTCTAGGATTTTTTGCTAATTCCTGATGAAAGCATTAGCTAGAGATGTAAATAGGGTTTAAAATTCTATTTTTTAAAGGGTTAACCATTAAGCAGTTCATATAGGTGGGGAATTATGGGCGCAAGGGGTGCTGCAGCACCCCCACGTTTTACACGGGGTCTGGCTGCCAGCCCTGCGCCCCCGGCAGCTGGCGAGGCTCCAGCAGCAGAGTTTAGTCATTTAACCAAAACCCGTAAGACTGATGCTAATTGGTTAACCAGTTAAAGTTTTATATTCCTAGTATTAGTGAAAGATTTCACTGTCTGAAACATGGTACCAAGGGAGTCCTATGTATCCTGAGAGAACTGTTACGTTACTTTAATAGACAGCACTTTTCACTTATCACAACAGCATTAAAACCCTAAGCCTATGTGTATCCCACCTTGCAAATCATACAGGATAACAGAAAAGTCATTGCCACAAAGTAACTCCCCAGGGGTGAATTATTTTACACATTGTTGACATGGAGTAGTAGATTCCATTTGTCTCCTGTGCTATTATAGAAAAAACATGGAGGGCATTTGAATTTTGCCTCCGATATATTTAAAAAAAACCCTAAAATCAATAATAAGATGTTCACATAAATAAGGGAACACTGCTTAAACCAGAAGAATCCACCCTCTACGAACATATTAAGGTGAACTGTAAAAGAGAAATATATTTATAAAATATTCTTTTAAACAGTAGGTAGATCTTAAGTACTGTTGATTCAATATTCACATGGCGGGGAAATATCAGAAAATATGCCTGAAATATTTATAAGCACATCTTTTTTCAATTAAAAAAATTGTATTTTGCACAGAACACGAGCATTTGTACATGCAAACTGTGAATTTGTACATATATCTACAAGTTTTATATATATATAATAAATTTGAGTTTTTCTGATGTGCCCACAAATATTATGAGTAAATTTTTGGAAAAGTACAGAAATCTAGCACCAGAAATAAACACTTTGCATGTGTTTTTCTCCCCCAAAAAGAGAGTGAATTCCTTTAGGTAGTTAAATGTTATAAGTCTTATTCCAACAGATTCTAGAACATCATTATAATACATATATCACTTTCAAACTGTGTGCGCATGTGTAGGTATATAAATTTTACAAAGGAAATATTTTAAAACAAAGTAATTTTTTTTAAAGTTCTAGGCCACTATTTATATTATCTTCATGTAATAATGCAGATAAGTGTCCAGAAAAGCTTTTCATACACCAAAGCTGAAATTGAGTTCTCCCCACTCCAAACACACTCATCCTATTCCTTAGTAATTTCTGAATTAACTTCAGTGCTTAAAAACAAAAACAACTCAATTTCCACTTCAGAAGGGGGAGATAAATGTTCATCTAAGCACAGACATCTACTGTAAAACTTAAATAACTAAAATTAAGTGAAACTGCTTACCCTGAAACTAACATCTGCCCATCACAGGAAAAAGCGCAAGCCAGGACTGGGGCAGAGTGTCCATTCAATGTGCATTCATATTTTAATTCACAACCTACAAACACAATTATAAAAAGTAGAACATGATTTTTCTAAACTTGTTAACCAATCATTTTCCTTTTAAAAATGTTTTGATTTATTACTTTAAAAGGACTGAAAATGTGAGAGCTTGATTGTAATCAAGTGAAGCCAGTTGGATCATTGGGGCATAGGGTCACCCTCCAACCACACCCTCTGTTCTTTGGCCAGGTCCCTTGCGCCATATAGTGTGCAAGAAGGGTGGACACAGAAGCTGTTATTATGGTCCTACTCTACTTAGAATTCCTGGATAAATTGGCTTTGTAGCTGTTTTGTGCCACCAAAGCAGACTCATGGATCTGGCCTCAGACCATAATGCATGCACAGAAGTGGGTAATTAGGATTACATAGGCAACCTTAACTTTAGTATTTCCTCACTTCTGCTGCTTCATTTTGAAACCTTAATATTCTTTTAAAATAGGTTTTTGTATGGAATTTATAATTATATTCCTATACAGTTAAATAACTACACGTACATACAGCCCACTTATGTACAGAACACAAAGAAAAGAGGAGGGAAGGTTTTCCCCCCCCTTTATTGAAAATAGTTTGAGCTCTCAGTTCCACTTCTACTGGTCTGGTACCTAAATCACAAAGCAACCACCCCACAGCAGACACACTTGTTTCAGTTTTAGCAGATGTCATGGATTTAATGGACAAATGAGTCACTCCTAGTGACTGTCAACTTTAGCTCAGGACTGGGGTAGTTAATACCATCACTGTCTGGACTGTACCTCTTTGGGAGAGATAAAGAGAGGACTCTGGTCTCCAATCATGTCAACCTAGCACCTTTCAACAGTTCTACACTCAAACAAATTATTGGTAGCTTCCAACAAATAAAATGCGTAACATAATTATGTATGAACTATTCTGTGGATTTGTAACATACTGTAACTGGTTACTGTACATCAGTTAAAAACTTTAATAAATAGAGGAGTTAAGCAAGGCTTGATCCTGCACAGTGTTGAGACCCTCTGACTCCACTCTAGCAAAGCACTTAAGTAGGAGCTTAACTTTAAAAGTATGTGATTAGTCTCACTAACTTTGTACCTATAACCTTGATAGATATGAGCTTATTAGCACTAAATTGTAACTAAATAGCTATTAATTTTGAGTAAAAAGAAAATTATTGCTATGCATACCTAAGACATCAGCTAGTGAAATAAGCCAAAGCTTGATCTGGTTATCCTGACCACAAGATGCCATTCGGAAATATCTGGATCCTTGTTCTCCATCTGATAAAATGAAAATGTTTTAAAGGGGACCAGAAGCACCGAAAAGAACATGACAGACCAGTACACTAGGTTACAATTCTAACATTTCAATTTGAAAATTAGCTTCCACATTCCTAATACCTTTTTAAAGTGTTGATAAAATAATTATACAAATTAATGTTATGATTTTGCAATCAAGTTAAATCATATAGCAGATATCATATTTAAATGTTGTTTCATGAATAATACAGGTGGAAGAAATCCAAAACTGAGCAGTTGTGACAATAAAAATGAGATAGCAGGCAAAGCTAAAGACTACCACCAGCCATTCAAGGTAGTTTAATTTCTCCCTGAGGGCCCCCCTCTGCACCTCCCAGGCCAAGTGGAGCTACAATGCAGGAAAGCATCTGCACATTATTTAAAGTTTTTAAAAAGTCTTTTTTTGTGATGTTATGACAACAAAAAAGAGTGGCTTCCATGTGTATTTGATCCGATTTATTTGTAAAGGATTTAAAAGTCCTACAGAAAATATATTAAAAAAACAAAAACAAAAAAAACAACCCTCCACCAAAAGTCACAAAACAGGAAACTGCAATGGTTTTATGAACATTTTTATTTTCAAGGATTAATATATATTATTTCATTTAGAGTAGGCCCAAATTTATAATTCACACACTAAAAACAATTTCCGTTCTAATTTTACAGCAACGACTTAAGTGTAGAAAGCCTTTTCTAAGACTTCGTAACTTCTACAATATATGCCACACAAACTAACAAATTATATTGTTATAAGGTAAATACTATGCGGTATAATCATAATTAAATCTAAAATACAATCATCAAATAAATGACTAAAGCACCAGAGAGATTAGGGCACTGGACCAGATGACCGATCGAGGTCCTTTCAGTTCTACACTTCTATGATACTCCAAGTTAAATATCTACCTAAGAAGGATACCATATGACAAGGGGACCAGGAAAAGCATGGTCCTTACAGACAGAAATTTCGATTTTCAAATTAAATGTACAGTGAATACAAACCATTAACCAGATCTCACATTTTTTCTAGTGTGCTTATTCACAAAATTCAGTAATTCACAAAGGGCCTACCAGTCATTAGTACAAATTAGCAAGCTTCTGCTGTATTTGAAAAAGGTGATTTATATAGAAGTTAGAGCTCTAGAAACAGATTCTACTGCCAATTTACTGTGATGATACAATTTTGTGACAAACCTGGCAATACAAAACTGTGGGGATGTTTTTTGTTTTTCAAAAGATACTCTGTACATTCATAGTTGCCAGTCTTGTTTTCTTTAGTTTTTGTTTCTCCTTCCTCCTACTACTCAAATTATTGACTACTTGAAGATAGGTTGATCAAAATGGATAATAAAGGTGGTTTCTTTTTTGTGTTGGATGAAGCCAGAGAGCCTTAAAACGTTGTATGCATGTTCTCTCCAGGTCAGCAGTTCTCAAACTTTAAAACCTAATGTACACATGTAAAATTCAAGAATACTTCACATATTTTCATAACTAATCAATTTAGTTACGTGTTCATATTCCTATAAATGAACCTATGTACCAACTGACTGCAAACCCAGTACCAGTTTGAGAAAAGCTGCTCTAGTTATTACAGATAAGAGACAATTAAAACAGTGCACATGAAAGAAGTTTGCTCTTTTAAAATATACAATGCCAATGAGTGCATTCCATTTCTAAGTATTCTAAGATTTTGAGCAGTGCGTGAGGCAGTTGTAACGGTATGATAAAACTGCTCCTAAAACCTAAGAAGTGATCAGCACTGACTGAGGGCTTGGTAGCAAATTTGTTTTAAATACTGTATATAACTGCTATTCTGCACATTAAAAAATAATGGGCCAAACTCATCATTAGTGTTTGAATAGGTAACTCCAACAACGTAAGTGGGAGCTATATTGGAGGGTGGAACTCTGCCTTTAGCTAGTTAATTTGTCTACTGAAGGTGCTGAATGCAGTCCAGTTTGGATGGCTGAAAAATCTAAAAAAAAAGGTCACGCTCCTTTACTGACTGTGGAAATACCTGTCTCCTTGGCAACTGTTATATTATTTGTGTTATTTTAATCTTTAAAACTTTGTGCCTCATTTAAGATGATGTCTCGCTTTTTCATAAATTTTAATTTTGTATAAATCTTTCACACATAATTTGACATAAACCTTGACATTTCAAAACCAATCTGTATGCAATGGGTTTGGGGAGTAAAAACCTACATTTGAAAATCCAAAAATTCAAGAGAAGGAAATTTGAAGCATATGTTTATAACTTCTAAATGGTACCAAGCCTAACGGCTTTCTCCTGCCCTTATGCAAGCCTTGTTTAATACAGATTTTCATGTGATATTAATTAAAAATGGCACTTTAACTGGACAGTTAACAATGCAATGACAGTATGCATGTCTCCAAATTTGGTCTGTTTTCCCAGGAGAATGGCTGGATACAGCTCTGGGGAGGCGTGAAGGAGTGATACCTGTGTATATGTATAAGACTGTGGAGAATGTAGAAAAATCAGAGAAGTGACCCCAGACAACCAAATTACATTTATTCCTTTGCCCAACTTTGTTTTACATTTTGGAAAAACTAGATGAAACTTTCTCCTATAGAGCCTTATTATGTACTCCCATGACCTACATAGCAGCTAAACTCCTGCTCTGAATTAAACCCGACACACCCCAATCAGTAAGTCAGAACAAAATTTAATTCTAGTTCTCCATAATAATGGAAGCATATCTAGGGTAATCTGTCACACAGAAATAAAGATATTCTTGACCAGTTCTCATTAGAACTGGGTCCAAATCACAACCTCAGATCCAAAATCCACGAACTGTGCGTAAACTCAGATGCAGTTTTGAACTTTGCAGCTTTCCTCTATCTGTACAATGGGCTGACCCAAAGCCTTGGATCCAAACATCTTAAAGACAAGTTTTGCATAGGATCTAATCTTTGCAGTTTGGGCCTAGGATTATTTTCCTATTAGGTACAATCAGACAATGGGCCAGATCCTCAATCTGGTTTATGGCCCCTTGGCTCCACTTAGATGGCATAAATGGGGTGCAAATGTCCAGCAGAGAATTCCCTGTTGATGAGTATTCCCTGCTTGGTGCTGCAGTTGGGTCTTGCTACCTCCCTCCTCTTTGCCACAGTAATCCTCCATCAGCACAGAATCTTTTAAATACCCTGTGACAAAGGTACAATACATTGCTGCCCACCAGATTTTCTAAGCACGGACAGGGACAGGGCCGGTCCTGGGAATCACAAATCCAAAACAGGGCTCTCTGAGGCCTCCCCCCTCCATCTCCCATGCTGTGTGAAGATATCGTGCAGGAAAGAATCTGCCCCATATTTTAACTCTTATTGTTTCTGTCTCTTCTGTGCTATACTAACATCCAAGGGCTCGAATCTGCAATGTGTTAAGTACACTGGCTCTGATCCAGCAAAGAATGTGCTTAAGTCATTTGCTGGATTGGGGCCAGAACACACTTTGAAGGCTCAAACCCTAAAGCAGGAGCAGTTATTGAGGAGGGGAGAAACATTCATAATCTTTGTTTTAAAAACAGTACATAACGGTCAGTGGCCTGCCCTCCCCGAATATCAAGAAATCCAGTCAGTGAAACACCACATCAGAAACCCAATAACTGTACAAACCACAACTGCTGATGGGGGGAAGGGAGTGCTCCCCATCACATTTCCCTCAATAGTGATCATAAACAAGTGCCTTATACAATGCTTGCAGAAGCCTTATCTTCACTAGATAAAAAAGGTGTGTTCTTTACCCTGTTCTTTACCCTAGCTAACATGAGTTAAGTCCAAGTAAACAGAAGGCAGTTTGAGGGACTTTAGGCTCCCCCTCGGTCTTCAACTCGGAATGCTAATTTGTGTTAATGCTACAAACTTCCTTTTTTTCACTAGAATTTTACCTCATATTATTAACGTTACCTCATGTTAGCTAGTATGTTAAGAACACATCTCTTTTCCTAGATTAAGTCTTCACTGCCAAACCAGGTGTTGGGTTTTTTGTTTTGTTTACAGTAATATAACTAATACAGATAAGCGATCTCATTTAAAAAAACCACATTTGGGGGGCAGTGAAGACATAGTCCCAGCAAAAACAAGGCCATACTAAACTCTGACTTGACGTGAAGGGGTGGCCCACAATTTTATATGATGTAACAGCCTTATAAAGAGATATTAAGTTTTGTTTGTCAAGCACTTTGGGATTCCCGAGTATATGAAAGGAGTTGTGAAAAACAACTGTATTCTATCAAATCCCCAGGGAAATAACACCTTTATTCTCCATCAATAAATTATAACGAAAAGAAAGCACTTAAAATGAGAATGTATAGAACAAATTATGCACACTTTTCGTTTTACAGATCAGTAACAACATTGCTACTAACTCTGTTTTCAGCATGTTTTTCTAGTAGCTTTTGGGATTCATTTTCAATATTTCCTTTTTCCACTACTGAGATTTTTAAACCTAGAATGCTTGACTTTAAATAGAAACAAAAGCATACAGCTCTCTATCCTGCAATTGCAGGTTAACTACACAATTCTTACCATGATGAGAAGGAAGAGCTATTTATAAAGTGGATTCAATTCCAAGAAGCCAATTAGTAAACAACTACAGGGAAGTGAGATCATAGATTATCAGGGTTGGAAGGGACTTCAGGAGGTGATCTAGTCCAACCCCCTGCTCAAAGCAGGACCAATCCCCAACTAAAATCATCCCAGCCAGGGCTTTGTCAAGCCTGATCTTAAAAAAAAAAAAAAAAAAAAAAAGATTTGATGTACTTGGCAGGATGGAAACAGAAGAATGGCTTTTAGTAGTTTTCCCAAATGAGAAGAAAACCATCTACAGTGCATCACTGTCAGAATGAAAAGAAAGAAACTATAATGATAACGTATGTCACAGAAATAGACAACTTGGAAAAAAAATCAAAATTAAATCTAAATCAACAGAAATAAAGATTCAACACAAGATTCTAGAGGAG